AAAGAACATTTGGTATGAAAAGCATGATATCATTTATGTGTTATGTAATAAAAGATGACGTTATAACTTCATAATATACAATATCTCCCCAAATAACAAAGTTTCTAAGTGTTGCCATCCTTAAAAACTAATATTAAAAATAATAAGTGTTGCCACCCTCAAGAAACTAATAAATTAAATAATATTTAAAAAACGAAACTAAATTAAAAACAGAAACCGAAACTAAAAATATATTAGGCTTAAGAAAAAAAAGAAATAAGCTCCCCATGACGCTGCAGACGAAGTTTCGATTTTCAGGCGGGCAGAAATAAGCAACTTCCGGCGATAGGTGGGCAGAAATAAACAACTTCCGGTTGAGGCAGAAATAAGCTCCGGTTGACTGTGACGTCACTTCCGCCGCATAGATCGCGCGGTATACTACTCCCATATATTTTGACAAATAACTTACCGTTTTAATATATATTTTTGAATTCATTTTTATCAGGTATATAAAGAGTGGTAATTACAGAACATCCTAAATTATTTGAGTTTGTAATTTGAGTTAATGTTATTTCCAGTAGAAGTTTTATCTATTTATTTACGTTGTTTATTTACGTTTTTATTTACTTTTGTTATGTTTATCTAGGCTGCACTAGAGCTGCACCATGGGTATATTGGCGAAACATCCCTGACGACGAAGTAGAATATTTGGGCAGAATTAATGCAAAGTGCATCAGATGTTTGGTTATTATAGTTAAATAAAGGAAATGAAATATCTATTTTTATTTAAGAGAATCAAAAATTATGTTTTAATCATTAAATTTAAGAGGAAATATTGGCAGCTTTTTATGTTTAACTTTTTGAATTTCTTTTCGTTTTTAATATAAAAAACTGGTTGTTACGTACGTAACATATTGTGTTGCGTTCATTACACAGTTACTAATTTTTTTAAAAAAAAATTAAAGGACGTTATTAAAAATTAGAGTATACGTCAATAACACCGAGTTCTTTTTACAAAAATCATTAGTACTGCTTGATTATTAAACTGAATTTTGATTTTGAAGTCTGAAAGAAAAAAGTTCATAAATGTCGTAACTGCCTTTCAGCAGTTCTTTTACAAAAGTTCGAATTCTTTTTACAAAAATCATTAGTACTGCTTGATTATTAAACTGAATTTTGATTTTGAAGTCTAAAAGAAAAAGTTCATAAATGTCGTAATTATCTTTCAGCAGTTCTTTTACAAAAGTTCGAATTCTCTTTACAAAAATCATTAGTACTGCTTGATTAATAAACTGAATTTTGATTTTGAAGTCTAAAAGAAAAAAGTTCATAAATATCGTAATTGCCTTTCAGCAAGAGTAAGATTGTCAAACGTACTCGGGTATGTTTCAGGTCAAGTCTTTTGTGTTTACATGTGCAGGCAATGTATCAATTAGAAAAACAGAGAATTTACTTTTGCTATGCTACCGGTTGATTAAATTAGTTCCAAGCCCAGTTGTTAGAGCTTCGTTTCGGAGGGGCCGGGATTCGATTCTCAGAATGGGGGCGATATACGTGCTCGTATAATCTATGGAATCGAAAGTCCTATGGGTACAGAAATATGCAAAAAAAAATTTCCCTTTCAGATCTAAACCTAAATTATGAAAGTGGCTTCACTGATGAATGGTGCTGCCATCTATCCCGAAGATTCTGAGCTAAGTAGCTGTTGAGGTTGCTCCTTCCTGAATTAATTTCGCGAGGTCAATCGCTGATGAACTTTGGCTTGTTCAAGTGTCGTTCGAAACAACGTGAGTCAATTATTTATAGTTGAGGTGACGGTAGACTCGCCAAAATTAAGGGCTTATTTTAGATTTCGGAAGGAAAAAATTTACCACAGTAAAATCTATTGCTAGAAAATCTTTCAAATGCAAGATAAGAGCTAGAAAAATTGGGTGCTGTCAGTTCTGTGATAATTTTCTGATTTCAGTTTTCACAAAATGCTGATTGAAGGAAGTAAATTTTTTATGGGCTAATCCAGGGTGTCAGTATATTCAAAATATAAGTTAAACGTAAGTGTTTTTCTCATTTATAACCGGACCATCAGCAGTTGAAGGTTGAGAATCATTGTTAACCAATACCTACTCTTTAGAGACTTTTGCCCTTCTCAGAATCAAACTTATGGCAACTTGTTATACATATTAGGTTTGTACCAGACTAAATGAACATCACCTATCCAAGTCATTTAAGCTTTATTTATTTAATAAAGTAAAGGAAACGAAACCAGCGAAAATTGGAAGTTCATAACTTTATTCATAGTATTTATTGTACATCGAAATGCTGGACAATAAAATGTGGTAGAGTCGTTGGAAATTGTGAGGTTTACTTGAAGTTCTTAAACGTATCAATACTGGTATCAGTATCAATACTTAAAATTATGTACACTTGCAAGTAGGACATGGTTTGGAGGTATAGTCGATCCTGCAATTTCCGCAGAGTGGTAAACTACACTATATCTCTTTAGGTTTAGGTTGTGAAATGTTGCAAACGCAATATGGACATCCTCCGTCTTTGGACAAATATATATCGCAATTTTCTCCGCAATTCGGCGGGTCACACATTTCACCACCTAGAAAGCAAATTTTAAACAATGAACATTTACTTATCAGCTGATACATTGAAATTTGAAACAATGTACGATGGGTGCCAGTGGGGAGGGTGCAAGCTCATTTCAAGAATCCATGATGCTATGCCTCTAAATGTATTTTATTTCATTTATACCCTTAACTGTTGTTCTTTACCTATAACTTTGGTCGTACGCTAAACGGTACCGCACACTCTCGTCTCTTCGCAGGTTGTTTAAGGCTAAGTTATCCAGTAAGATAGTGTTGACCATATGCACCTTTAGTTTTAAAAAATATATTCACTTTTTTCGAATATTCCAAATATATAAAATGCCATAAAAATAAACACATTTTCTTTTTATTTACTATGCAATCCTTGAATTAGAATAACAAGTCTTATTTTGAGACATTTGCAACAATCCTCTTAAAATAATAAGCATTGATTAGTGAAAACAAAAATTATTTTTTCTGATTTTCTTAACGATTTATTCTAATTCTTAATATCAGAAATATATAAAATTCACTCTGTAAAGTAATATAATTAAAGTAATGGCCATCAAATTAAATTTTATTGTTCTTGTTAATTGTTCATGAACAACTGCGATTCACGCAGAAATAAGTGTTAAAATAATTATAAAATAAAAAAAACTCAACGAATTATTTTTGATTGGTATGGCTAGAATGCAATCTATTTCATTCCAAAATATAGCTTAAAGCATGCTAATTAGTTGTTACTAATATCTTCTATTAATAAGCATTTTCCCTCAGAGTTAATTGAATAATCTTTATTTAGTTTTCACAAATTAACTGATTATTGATATTGACTCTATTACTTGGCAATGTTTTTTGAACTTAGTTTAAATAAAATGATCTGGATAGAAGTCTAGAATCTTTTGGGAATTTTCTGACAAAAGTACGCCAGTACAATTTTGAAATTATAAGATTCAGCAAGTAATTTGGTATTTACAAGTGTACCCGTGATTTTAGATTTTTGAAACTTAACTTAGTTTTTACATAATTTACGTTGAGGAAAAAAACTGAACTTTCAACGTCTTTCAAATCAATTTCCGGAGCTTAGGTATCTGAAAACAAGCAACAGTATTACTTATTCAAAATTGCCGACTGTAAATTTTATTTCATTAAATACTTGAAGAAAAACTTGAAGAATTTTTTAAAACTTTCAAGTGCTATTTCAAATAGTTAATCTTGAAGAGTTTAGTATGAAATTTTTCTGTGAGAGAACTGTAAAAATTTTAAAAAATTGCAAACAAAAATATTAATTTTTCTCTGGTTTTGCACGAAAAAGAAAGGAATAAAATAATGAATGTAACTCATAATAAAATACAAATTAAAATAATATTTTTAAAAACCACGTTTTTGTAGTGGAGAATAATAATTAAAAAACAAAACATTGAAAAACGGAAAACGTGGGGGGCATGAAGTACATAACAATAACAGTATGTGTGCTCATGAGAATATGTGCATGTAAAACTGTAATTGTATCTGGATGTGTATGTGGAATATGTTTGTGTGTATGCATGTATATGTGGATGTGGTTGTGCATGTGTACGAGTAAGAAAATGTGTATGTGTATATATACTGTTATCATGCACCCCACGTTTTTCGTTTTTCAAATTTTTGTGTTTTAATTATTATTCTCCTCTACAAAAATGTGGTTCTTAAAAATATTATTTTGATTTTTTTTGTACATACTTTCAAAATCTCAATTTTTTTCACTTACTGTACACAAAACTTTTCAACTGACATGCGACACTAATTCGAAATAATCGAATCGACAACAAAATAGACAATCACGAAAATATTAATTTTTCTTTGATTTTAATTTTATACTTTTTACGTCTTTTTTCTCCTCATTGTCATGCTTTGTCACCCATTTCTAAAGTATGTGCCATATTTGAAGTCTGTAGCCAGTCGGGAAGTTAGTTTAAAATCGATTACAAAATTCCACCCGAACAGACATACACGAAGGCAAGTTGATATAAACGTGGTAATAAAAAATGAGTTGAGTTGATCATCTTAGTTAGTTTTGCAGGTATTTTATTCGTTTGATTTAAGCTGACACATTACCTTTTTTCAAAGGCGCCCGCTCTATCAAAGTTTTCATGAATTAAAATTCTGTAAAAGATTAAAATATGTCATACATATACCAGTTATTTGAGCTTGATTATTAAAAAACTGATGGAATATATGGAATAAGGATTTTGATGTGTTTATAATTAACACGGATAATTGAAGATACATTTCAGTAACACAACAAATTCAATAGAACAATAATGAATACGAAAGTTTAAAAGTAAACATCATGAACACAACATTTCCATGCGAGTACAACCTCGGCACTTCTCTACCAATGAAAAAAAGGAAAATTTTTAAAAATAACTAGAAAAATTGCATTACGGTAAATTAATTGAATTTTTATATTGCATTTATGAATTTATTATCTTTTAAGCTACATATTTCTACGCAAAACTCGTATTTTCTACCTTTATTTAAAGTTTGCATCTTTGAAGGATATAAGTATAAAGTTGAAAAGGAATAAATAATTTAGATTAAAAACAAAACTAACAGCTTTTCTCTGGTTTTACACAAAAATGAAAGGAATGAAATATTGAATGTAACTCATAAGAACCGAGTTGATAGTCCTAGTTAATTTTCTAGGTATTTTATTCATTTTATATAAAGTCATCTTGAAAATTGTTGCAAGAATTCCGTACAAAAGTTTGAACGAAAGCAGATGAAAAGGCTTTCATCATTTCAATCTAGATCAACAAACCCCTCATTTGTTTCCCTTAAAAGTCTTACAGAAATTCCAGCAACAATTTTCTTGAATAGATAAAATGAACATAATATAAGAAAAATTAACTGAGACTATATCAATTCAATTCTCTTAAATTAATCTCAATATTTTATTGTTCATTTTTTTTTTGCGTGCAAAGAAAGTTGTTGTTTTAACTTTTTTTGAATTATTCTATTTCATACTTTTTCTTCTTGACATTCGTCAAGCGCATTATTCTTTCCAATAATTTATAACCTTTCTAAATTATGTGGTGACAATAAAACCAGACGCGAGTTCAGATGTATTTGTATTATTAAATAAAATACTAATTAAGCTGCTTTACAAAACAGATGATAAAAGCCTAACAACTAATACTTTTTTGACATAAGTTGGAAATTTTAATTGAGTATAGGTCGAAATCAATGAAGTGGTTTCGAACATTTCCATCAAAAATAATAAACCTAATTCCATTTTCTTTAAAAAAATATTTATTACACTTGCAGATGGCTCTATCTTATTAGATTAAGCGTAACACATTCTTAGAAGATCATCTCATGGAAAGAAAGATTAACTGTAATTTGTATCATTTGTCATGACGCTTTTGCTCAAGGCCACCTCATGCTGGTCAAAAGTTGCCACAATAAAACTATTTTCTACGGTACTTATCCCTTTCAATGAGCATTGAAAAAACCTATTACAACAGTGCAGTATTACCTATATTGGTATATTTGGAACCTATTAAAATCCAATCTGATTATAATAACACCAAAAGTAATAATTACTAAAAATAAAGAATTAATGACGTCAATAATGTATGGCGATTTGTTTACATTTCTCCTTAACGAACAAGTACCTTTTCGCTATTGATTTTGCTTTTTAATACATAACTCATTTTTCTTTTATTTCATTTAAATTTGATTTTAAGTAATTTATCTTTATGGAAACACGTTTTAAAAACACGACTATCATCAGATAGCTATAGAAATATTTATTCAGTGACATAGCACCGATTCACATTGATTAAGGAACTTGTAAAAAATAAATAAACATTAAAGAATATGCAATAGAATCTTAAATTTTTTTTTTTTATAAGTCTACATTTTTTTTATAACAATGGATAATATTAAACCTTAATGCGAAAAGAAAAATCTCATTTTCAAGCGTTCCCTTTAAAGGGACTAATTAAAATGCTTGTACCATTTTTATTACCTGGGGCTAAATTTTCACCTCGTACTCGGTGTCTTAATTCCAGAGTTTTAGCGATAGTGGCTGTAGAGTTTTAAGAGATTCGAAAACGCGTTCCGATATTGATACCTTTTTAAAAAAGGGATTTTTCTTTAATATTAGGGGGGGGGTCTATCTTTTACGATAAGAGAGGAGAATCTGGCCTTCGTGAGAGGAGTGTATAGCTTATACTTACTGTCGGAACCTCCTACTACAGCAACAATGACCAAGAGCAATACTAAGTACTTCATTTTCTGCGAGTCTTCTGTCGATTTCTGATTGCAAAAGAAATCTGATCATCTCTTTTTATATGTTGTGATGATAATGGAAGCTATTTTAAGAAATCAATTTCGAATTATCAGATAGGCTATGATTTATTTTGGAATCGTGACATTTTGATTAGGATTTTCAATTCTTTAATAATAAATGCTTTCTTATTAAATCTCACTATGTCAATAAAAAAATAATTTACCTTATCGGCAAATCAAAAATCATGACTCTTCTAAAAAGTTAACGTAGTTCAAGCAGTCTTCGTGACTTTGCATTTTTATGTCATGAATATGTTATTAGAAACAACAGAAGAATCCTTAGAAATTTTTCGCGCAGAAGTCCATCGTTGAAATTTTTTATTTATTTTATTTTGGAAATATGTAAAAACATGGTTATTTGGGAAGTTTTAATGAATAGTAAAATTGGCATGCATAGGTGTGAGAATTCCTGGGCAAATTCTCCGATTAGAAGTCCGTGATAAAAGGAATGTAATAATGGAATCAGTAGTGAAAAAAAATCAATTTGATTACTGTGAAAATTGTGTATAGTTTCAACAAAACACAAACGTCTATGAAATCTGGTGGATCATTAGTGAGGAAGACAAAGTTAGTTTGATTGGATTCTGAAATTTGGATATGTTTCTTTTTATAACTATGTACAAATCTATAAGAATCTTCGGCAATAATTTTAGAGTACTGTAAAAAAGTATGCCCATAAAGGGTCGTAACTTGATATTCAAGCTGGGAAAAAAAAGCAAAAAATTTACATCGAAATCTGACAAATCATGATTAAGAAATACGTTCTTAAAAGCATTAAAATCTGATATTTAAGAAATTCAATTAAGGATCGATTCTTTAAGACAGCTATATATATCTAATAGTTGCCTTTTACCACCCCATACTTCCTCTTTTGTTTTGTTGAAAAAAACAAAACCGACGCCTAATTTAAGCATAAATTCATTCTATATTTAGACGTATTTTTTCTAATATGTTTTATTGAACTTAGTTATTTGATTTTAAATTTCAAGAGATGTTAGTAATTTCAAAACTTTTTGATTGTTTAAAGTTTTTCAAAGTTCACGTTACTAAATTTTAAGTATGGGAAGAAGTATTTTTAAAAAAATTTTCATAGTTGAACATTTTTGAAAGTTCAAATCTTAAAAATACTTAAAACTATAAAAGTATAAATTTTATGACTACATTCAACAGAACGTATTTAATAAATAAAATTAAAATTTTTTTAAATTGATTAACATGAAAGTAAAATTATGTGTCTAAAAGGGACTCTTAACTCTTGATGTGGTCCATGAACAACCAAGATCTTCAGAAATACCAACAGCATTGTATTCGATAAAATATGTTAAAAAAAACGGCATGTGATGCAGAAGTGCTGGGTATTGTAAAAAATAAAAATATTAAAGAGATAAATAACTGGGTGTTCAAAAGAAAGTATATATATTTTTTTATTTCCAATGAGCTGCACAATCGGTCTTGCCGATGAGCAGACCTAGTGAGTTCTCCAGAGGTGGTATCCACTCTTTCAGGACCACCACACAATGGGTGAGATACCGTTAGTCATGTAAATTTGGACGTCCAGTTTCTACCACACCAGATGGCAGCACCGAGACTCTATTTGGATGCTAAAGTGCACTAGGAATTTAATTCTGCCGGAAATGCCAAGAGCCAATAAGGCATTCCAGGGATCTTTTACATGTCGCATAATCATACGACATGGCCGCTGAGGATTTTCTGCACCCCAAAAATCCGGTGTCTGGGCCGGGGATCGAACCTGCAGACTAGGGCTCACAAGGCCGACGATAAACCAACTGCACCACCCTGCCACTCAGAAGAAAATATGACCGAATTAAAAAAGGAAAAGTATAGTGGTTTGCAACAAGACCAATGTGTTCCGAAAGAAAAACCCTTATAACAACTGACAAAAATAGAATCTAAGAGAAAACAGGTCCAGTGTTCAAATAAATGGAAGTTCACTTTTATTTCATGGTTTTCTGACGTCGGGGCAGCAACAGAAATCAACTTATGGCAAATTCGGAATCATGGAGAGGTGGTGAATTTTGAATGGGGAATTTTTGGCAGGATCATCATTATTCTAGTATCCAATCGCATGACTTGGGGCGCCGGATAAATCCACGCGGTTGTCGCAGACATCCCTGAAGGAGATCTCATCTACAAATTTCTCTCATGCAACAGACAGCGATTTCTAGAGTAAAAGCTGATGGCGACCGGCGAACGAGATCGAACACGCCATGCTGATCCAGGCAAAAACGAAGTCCAGTGGCTTATTGATGCGGATACCATATTAAATCCAAAATTATGGTAATGACAGCTAATATTTTTCTAAGTGTAAAATTTCGTAGTAAAAAGGCTGGCCATTTTCTTCAGTGCTTAGAATTATGTTGTAAGTTAAATTTTGAAAAAGAAAAATCAAAGAAGATGCTATTTTGATGACCAGACTAAAAATGGTGTTGATGACGCCATGTTAATACAACCTCCGAACTCCGGTGAGGAAGGAGGGAAAAATAAAAATATACTCCTCGCGGGAGACCGTAACCTTGCTGGGCAATGTAAAACTCGAATGCTAATGAGCGTTACGCGCTCAAATATTTATACACATTTTGGAAGTAGAAGTTTTATTACCTACTTTTTTTATAAAATTGAAGTGTTATTACCTATTTTTCGAAGTTGGAGTCGTAGTGTTTAAAAACTAGTTCTCGGCCATGGTTACGAAGACTGAAGCAATCACACGTTTCACGTGCGTGATGAAAGAAAGCCGCATCAGCTGTTCTTCCGAAAAAAGGGGTGAGAGTGGAATTTTCGGGGGAAAATGTCCCAATTGCACTAAGGTTTAAAGGGCGATGTATGAATTGGATCAGGATTTTATGAATTGGATCAGGATTTTATAAATTGAATCAAGATTTTATAAATTAGCCTGTGACTCGATGTCACAATCTACAAACTGAAATCTGCAGATTTTCGATTTATTTTGCCAACAATTTGCAAGGCTCAACACTTAACTGTAATAAAGTGGCATATCATATAAGCCGTTGAATTATTTAGATGTAGTATTGAGTAAACATTTCATAAAATGAATTTACTAATCCAGGAAACTTACATTAAAAGAATGCAGCTGGAAAATATTTATCCGCTGTCTGTAGCATCTCTAGATCTCAAATTTATTTCGTGAAAATCTCATCTGTTCAAATAGTAATCTAATCTATTTAATCGAAATCCAATCTATTCAATTATATTTAAATAATAATTTTCCTTAGATTAACATAGAGGAAGCAAAATCCTTTTTATGTCTGAAGAGTACCCTTAATTGCTATACTCTATTACGAGTTAAGAAAAGACCATTGCAGTATAGGATTTAAGTATTTATCCGCGACTGCAAATAGTTCCGTTTCATTTAGTTGTCAAATTTTACAAATATGCCTTCATAACAATTTAAAAGCTTTTAAAAGTTAAACATGTCAGATATAAATTTAATCCGTGCTATTTTTTATGCTATATATCACATAATTATTAAAAAAAGTTATGGTTTCGAAGTCTTACTGGAATCCTGGACTTGGCGACATATTTCGATAAATTAGAACATTTGTTCGAGAAAAGAAACAACTATATGGCTTTGTAAGAGCAATGGATTTGATTGGACCACTAAAAATGGTGATTATGCCGTAACGAATCAAATGCGAGATAAGGAATTTTAACTTTGTTTCGTGGTGGATGAAAATAGCCTGCAAGAAACAATATTTATGATTCTTTTATCAGTTTCTTAAAATACGAATAGAAAGATGTATATTTGTTGCGATTTTCAGCTACAATTTTTATTAATTGTTAAATGATTATTCACTAAGTTTTGTTTGACACATTTCACATGATTTAAGAAAACATCAAGAAAAAATCAAGCAACGTAGTTTCAAGAGTTGGCGATGTTGGTATTCTTTCGCGCTGGGAGTTTGGCATCCATTTGGCATACACTTAAATGCAGTCTCTCTCCATTGGGATAATGATTTGGCAACAGAGTATGGCCACTGAATCAGTTAAATCAAACTGTCATTAAAAATTTTATTCTCACATTTACACTTAATACACCCCTATTAATTTTATTTCAGCTCTGAAGTGCTAGACGGACTAAAATTTTTGCTCGCAACTATTTAAACGAAAAATAAATAAATAAATAAATAAATAAATAAATAAATAAATAAATAAATAAATAAATATTCAAAGTGTTATTCGATGTAGTGCGAAAAACTTTTTGGTGACTGAAACCACAAATGAATGTAGACATGGAAAAACCGAACTGCGTTTATTGTTAAAAAGAAACACCACTGGCTTTTTAAAAAAGTTTAAATGGTTACAATTTTTGTAGGGTAGACAAAATTTCGAAAAATTTTGTCTACCCTATCTATTTTAAGGACCAATATCTCCGATATGTAAAAAAAAAAAATGTTTATTCAGAGAAGGCACGTTTTTGTGTCTGATTTCGCAATTTAATTAATAGTTAGAACTAATTATTTAGCATATTCGAGGTCGACCAAAGGAACCATTAAGATTGACATTTAGTTCAAAAAAATCCGATCAAAAGAGCGAAAGTTATTAGGGTGATATCTATTTTTTGCCGACTGTGCATTAGAAAGGGTAAACCTCATTCCCGATATCTACAGGTTTTTTATCAGTGTAATTTATAATTCAAGTAATTGTTACAATATTAATTTGTGCAATAGTTTTGTTCCGATACTTATAAATATTGGTCTAAATAATTGTCATAAGATCGAAATATTTTTTTACTCCATTTTATTACTATACAACACCTGACTTTTAACTAACCAGATTGATGAAAATTTTTCCGACATCTACTCCGATTTCTTCAAACGTTAAATCGTCCCGCAGTGGACTGATCGTTAAGACACGGTTTCCAGCAGATCACCGAAGTCAGGCATCACTGGTTGCTGTCAGTGTGCCGGTGGGTGACCGCTTGGATCAGTCTGCGTAGGGATCGAGGGTGTGCGGTATTGGTCCTCGTTAGGGCGCTTTTTCATTACACGACACGATAACGACAAAACGGATCCGATTGTCGGTGAACGACATCGAGTCAAGTAAAATACATGGCCAGCAACGGAGTGCTTTTTCACTCACCGATACGATAACGATTATGTCGTATCCGACAAGGCGATATCGTTTGTCGGAATCAAATGTCGGTTAGGCAAGCAAGTTTCTCCTCAAATCGTGGCGATTTTATTTGTTATTGTGTATCTTTTCTGTTTTATCTCCTCTTTTGATATCATTATTTTATTCTTTTAATCAATTTTAATCGTTTATTTGATCATGTCAAATGTAAAATTTTAAAATAAAAGTTTTATATAATGTATTCTCATGTCTGGTTATAAATTTTTAATTTTATGATGTAGCCTTTTTTACATTATAAGGAGGTTGAAAGACTTAAACAATCATAAAAGTTTTATTGAAAATTTTTATAAATTCATTATATGCTTTAATGAAGAGATAATATTTTTTATAATAGTAATGGTTTGATAAGAAAGCAAATAAAGACTCTTATGTTTTTCAAACAGAACTCGATCTACTGGTTTCTGCTTGATTGAATAATAAAAAATAGGTTCCCTGATTCAACTGAAACTTTTTTTTGAAACATGATAGAGCGACTTCATAAGATAAATTTGGTAAAACTCATTAAAAAAATCATCTAAAAAGATTATTCTAAGTGAAACTAATATTTTAATTCGATTAAAAAAAAGCGTTAATACTTTAAAACATTTAAAGAATTTAAGTAATGTTAAGTGATTACAGTCATAAATTAGCGAGCAGACGCCAACTCAAAAGCCTTATAAAAATTATTCCTCATTAACATCACTCTTGTTCTTGGTTTCTCTCATTCAGACGTAATTAAAAAATTTATTAGGGACTTTCTGTAGCTTATGGAAAAGCACATAAAAATCTTCTTCAACATATCTTGCCTCATTTATTTCGTGGGTACTTATGTTGTTGCAGAAGTTGTGCTAATGCGCCAAAAAAGAGCAATAATGTTGTTGGCACACAGCAACCCCGTTTTCGCATGCAGTTATCTTTTGGATTCCTTGTTGCCTTGTTTGCCGATTTCTGACGCCATTTTTAGTGCTACGAAAGTGCATCTTTAGGATTTGCCAAAAACAGAACAAGATGCAATTTTAATTTTTCAACATTTTACCCCCCAAAAGACGAAAATGTACCAATTCCATGACATGAAACTTTATTTTGGTAAACGTACGTTTTGGAAATGTAATTTAAAACAGTGTGATCAGCAAGTGGGGCTTCGATGGTAGCACAATTTATTCTGACAGCTGGAAAGGTTATCAAACAAAGAGAATAGAAGGATTCCTACTTGCTAAGGTTTATCATAAATACAAATACCTTAGCAAGTAAGTATTTGTATACACTTTATTAATCCTGATACAGGAGCTCATAATACACAAACAGTTGAGAGAATAAGGGGCAGTGGTAAATGGAGGAACAAAAGACATAGGGGAACAGCGAGACATCATTTGGAATCATCATTTTATCAGAGTTCATATGGCGACAACATCTGGTGAAAGAAAAGGGACTGTTTTGAATCTATGTAAAACTCTATATCGGCTCATTTTCCACCGAAATCTGATTGACTACTTTGGTTTTAAATAAAGTGTTTCGAAGTTTTAGATTTTAAATAAAGTGTTTTATTTCATGATTTGTCGCAAAAATTTTCGGTGTAGATTAGCGGCACTTAAAAACCGCCAAATCTGTAGCTGTGGTGGCGATAATACATAAGTACCATTTCGTGCACCCAAAAACGTTTCTGCACTGCTAGCTTTTTTCTTCTAATATAAAGTAAGAAGTTTGAGACGACGATTATCACCCGGCATATTTAAAGTTTGCAGAAAAAAATCACAACAGAACACAAGCAACTGCTCATTCAAGTTCAAAACATTAAATGAACAATAATTTCTACTTCTCGGACGAACGATATCGGACAAGTGAAAAAACAATAGCTTGAACGATCCGGCAACGACATTGTCGTTCACACATTTGTCGTCCGATTTTGTCGGTATCGTGTCGTGTAATGAAAAAGCGCCCTTATACTGTTCTACCGTAAAGTACTCGACTTCGCGTGCAGGTCATCGGGCTACCGAAGCGGAGGTGCCATCCTATCTGCAGAGGATCAAAATTGTGATATGTCTTCGGATCATCCTCACGGATGTTTCCCAGACCGTCGCCAATAGCCCATTGTATAGCTCTAGTGCGTCGTAAAAATGAACTACAACAACAACTACTCAAAAGTTAAATCGACGTAAACTCCTGCTTCAAAGCCCTCCATTGGTTTTTATGATTTTCTCTGTTCTTTTAACTAGTTCGACGAAACATAGACTCATAACCGTTCAAATGTTACCAATTAGCTATTTTTTTTTTAATAACGGCGGGCACTGAACTTTCGTTTTTCGCCTTAGAAGATGCCGGAAGTGTTGCTCATTTATCGTTACCCAGTAGGCACCAGTGAACCAAAGTCACGGAGGCGAGCAACATTACCCACGCCACACTTCCACAAATACCCGTTCATAGGGTGGGTCACATTCATATATTCACTCATCAGAAGACAACACAGAGAGAGAGAAACATCCATGCCCACAGCGGGATTCGGATCCGCAGCCATTGGCTTCGCAGTCAGGCACGCTAACCATTCGATCACCTGTCCGGCACTAATTAGCTTATGATAACTACTAATTTAAATAATTTTCATAATATTCATTTGAGTAATATTTTTTTTAACATAGGTACAATTATTTGTCTAAATAATTATCATAAGATCCCGATCTTTTAGTCGACAGAACTTAACCTAGAACTAACCGTTTATTGGACAACTCCGAATTCTGAAATGTTTGCTTCGAATCTAGAAACGTTTGCTTAATATTCTTTTGTGTTGTTTTCAATAATAATTTGCATAATTTATCGCTTCATTTGTAAAGTTTCTCGTTTTATATCATCAGTAATTTTTTTTTACTGTTGGGAAAATATGCATGCTTCACACAAAAAGGCAAATGAGACATCATATCTAAGGATCAAACTACAAGAAATGAGACCAGATTTTAAAAAAAAACATATTTATAAATAATCAATAAAATAATAATGAGTTGTCAATGCAAAATCTTTTTCTATAGAAAATTATAAATTTATCTTTAAAATGGGTCTAAGTTTGGTTCAGTAATTTTTTATCTCTAGTTCACTATTCTTGTTCACGTGATTATTCGTTGTTCTTTATACGCAAAACGAAGCTTTATTGAATGAATTAGAATGCATGAGATATAATTTGAAGATGCATGAATGTATATTTTTAAAAAATCAAAATTTTTTATTAAGAAAAATAAATACCAAATGTAAAGAAGCCATCAAATTACAGATTTTTTTAATTTTCAAAAATTAATGAAAAACATTATTTTATATTGCTAAGTGACAGAAAAACAAGCAGAGGAATTATTATAATTTATACTCACTGGTTATTTCTACTAATACAGCAACACAGCAGCAGTGACGAACAGCAAGAATAAGTCAGTCATTTTCGTGAGTCTTTAGATATTTTCTGATTGCAGAAACAATCTTGTCAACTCTATTTATTGGTAATGATGATTTATGTGAACTGTTTTATGCTTTTATTTAAGGACATAATTTTGAATTGTGGCAAAATATAATTCCATGTCGGAGAATATTATTAACAACCATAAATAAGCGTTCTTCACTTTTTATAGCCAACTATGTACATGATAAAATATTTTAGTACATTGGAAATGAAACTGATTTAAATTTTATGACAAAGCATGGATAATTGTATTATTATAATTTGAAAATATTTATAGTCCACTGAGAACAATAAAAAAATATGCCTAATAACACCGAGTTCACATGATGCTGATTGATCACCTCGAAAACGAATAAATACCTCCTTTCGTCACCACGAATAAAAAACGAGTAAAAAAATATGCCTAATCTGGAACACCGAGTTTACATAATGTTGATTAATCACTTCGAAAACGAATAAATACCTCCTTTCGTCACCACGAATAAAAAACGAATAAAAAAATATGCCTAATCTAGAACACCGAGTTTACATAATGTTGATTAATCACCTCGAAAACGAATAAATACCACCTTTAATCACCACGAATAAAAAAATGAATAAAAATATATGCCTAATCTAGAACACCGACTTTACATAATGTTGATTAATCACCTCGAAAACGAATAAATACCACCTTTAGTCACCACGAATAAAAAACGAAGTAAAATTTTATGTACACGCATCAGAAATATAATAATTGAGGGAGAAAGATCAGAAAGGTTTATTGAAATTTAGCGAATTACTATTGAGGAAGGCTGTCTAAATAACATCAAAACCAGTTTAGTTGGAAGGTAAACTTCGTAGTTGTTTTTAAATATAACAATAAAAGGGTCGTAGCTTTTATTATATATTTTTAAAACCCCAGTCAACGACGAAATAAATATGCATTATTATACGCTATCTTACGTCAAATTAATATTTGAGTGAGAAAACGCAGAAATTTTTGCCGAATCTGGCTAATCACTAGTGAAGGGGGAGGGTTGAAAAGTGTTCAAAAAGTTCAAATGCTTGATGAAATTGGGAGACGTTTCTATTTTCTTTACAATATAGAAGGTTACCAATATCATTTTTCAAAAATAACTCCAAAAATGCACGTTCATTAAAGATCGCAAGTAATTATTTGAGCTAGAAAGAAAAGAAAAAATGCTATAGAAATTTGTCGAATCACTAATGAGGAAAACGGGATAACAAAGATCGAAGAAAGGTTAATAACCGGAGGATTTTTGTAGGTGTTTCCAGAAGTCCTCTTTTAAATTCTCTCATTTTCTTTTGGCTATCGAACAGATTTTGATGTTTCGAATCAATCTTTTCGCGTCAATGATTCGTTTGGGTCTTAAACGGTCTTGTTAGTTTTTTTGTTTAAATTTTAATTTACAAATATTAACTCAGTGTACGTATTATTTGTGATTAAGTTTTGACGAGATTTCAAAAAATATAAATTAAGGTTTCTGGTACAACCTGTAGATAGATATTGAATAGTTTAGGAGGATATTTATTCAAATAGTAAATGCCTAGTCTTTGATTTATTTCTTTTACCCGTTTACTTTTTGTTGTGTTTATTTTACGTGATGAAATAGAAAAAATATGGTAATTTGTTTGAAATCCTCCCTTCTCACATTTTTAACCATTCAATTTCAGATAAAATATTTCAGTGATTAATAAAAGTCAAGAAAATGCTTGCTAAGTAAAAAAGATTTTTTTTGTTAATATTTTTTCAACGGGTATTAAATTCTAAGCTTCTTGAATAAAGGTAAAATTTAAAAGTAATTTTAGTGTTGTGTTAAATTACGACAAGAAGACTGGGAGAAATAAGAATAAGGCCTGTTGAACTAGTTGGTCAAGATTGGTTTTGGCAATTTCGGGCAACTCCCATCCTTTCAACAGAAATAAAAAAATCACAATCCCTCTCACATGCCTACGTGAATAAGAGTCTCGAAATGGAGGCTGTACCATAATAGTTCAAAATAAATGAAACCAAATGTTATTTTTATAAAAGGACCTCAATAGAGAAGCATAGGCTTAACAATTTGACTGAACTGAAAATTTCTCATTTTAACCCCCCAAAGTTGTCCAGGTACCATGGGTAGAGGTCGGATTAATATAAGGAAAGCTGCAAGTACATGCTCTTTCTTAGCTGGTCAAAATAAATAAAAACCAAATGCTGTTTTTATATTGAACATCAATGCAAAAATGTTTTAGAATAATTGGTTCAAAAATTAAAAAAAAACCCCAAAAATTCTCAACTGTACCCCTGCAAGTTCATTTAAGCTGATAAGGTGATACGAATAATAAGAAGCGAAATGGTAGAATGGGTTAACAGGACAAAATTAGTAAAGCCAAGCACTGTTTTCATATCTATTAGAAAGATTGTACAATGTACATACTATAGGCCAAACTTTAACAAAGACTGATTTTGGTACACAAGGCTGAAAGAAAACACAAATAATTAAATTCGAAAAGGATAAAACTTCTTTCTTTCATTCGTTTCTTGTATTTGGTACACAAGAGTGTTTTGCAACGAGGAGGCAAAATGAGTATCGTGACTCAGCTCCAAGCTCCAGTTTTATCTTTGGAAAACGGCAAGTGCTTTTTGGTGATGAACATACCTTCAGAACACGCTACTTTCACTATTATCAAGTATTACATCAAAGAGCTTCTGTGCTACATTTGACTGAGTGTCTGAAAAGCAAAATAAAATAATAAAACTTTTCGTGCGAAAAATCTTTAAGAATAAATAAATAAACCAAGCTCAAAATGCTTTCAATTCATTCAATAATATTTTTTTCCATAATATTCCAGAATCATAAGAAGCAAATCATATTTAATTAATGCCGAATATATTGCGAAATGAGACTAATATTTAAAAAAAATTCTGAATTCTAAATTTCTAAATTTTTTTAAAGTTGCATTTTAAAAAGTAAATTTCAAATTTTAGCGTGTTTAATGAACCAAAAAAAAGGGGATGGTGGTAATGCCTGCTTTGTAAACGTGATGACCCCTGGATACCCTTTATTAGGTAACTAAATAGTCAGCAGCTTTTAATGATGAGTCATAGAAAAGCTTGTGAAACGGCATCATCCGTCGCATCGGTTAATAAGGGATGCGTTCAGGAATTAGGCAGAGGTTCCTGTTCGAAAAGTATGTTACAGCCTCCAGTTGCATAGGATAAGCATTCTGGGGAGCCAAGTGATCATACCGCTGCTTTTGAGCTTACTGCTAGTAAAGCTGCCGAGGAGAGGTCCAAAAGCACAGGTCCTGTTCCTGATGGAGCTTCTGACCTTGGCAAGAGATACTCAGGAGACAGTATGCTTGGGCTCATGGGAGAAGAGTCCAATCCGAGAAGGTGGTTCCACGTTGTAGGGATAGCCAAACTGGGGTGGGGGACCCAACTTGATTCCTCCAATCTAGGGATTCTTTTGCACATGCCATCAGATACATCTAAATTGCTAATGTCAAGGACTTTTCTCGGACAAGCTCTCTTTGGGGGAATCTGATGTGATTCTCAGGAGGATCTTGGAGCTGATTGACTCCATCCCATTTTGGCGAAAGGATGCCCGAGAAGAACTACTTGCTGAGAGGGGTTCTGATTCTCTAGTGTGGTAGTAACAATGTGAAATGGATCAGAAGACATTTTCATGACAAATCCTTGGGTGACATCCCACTTAAAGTTTTAAGTGCAGATGAGTTACCCAAGCCTGTGAAGGTAGCCTTCATGACCAAAGAGAGGTCTTCCGAGTGCCTTGGTGGTCTTCCGAACTTAGCATATTATGTAAAAAAAGCAGGAAACTATTTAACAGTTCAAAGAAATATGGTGAATGGCAGTCATACCGAAATGCTTTCACCACCTATAATAAGGCTATTAGAGCAGCTGAACGCTTGTCTTGGCAGACTTTCTGCGATGATATTAATACAATTTCTGCAACCGCAAATGTTGCCAAATTCCTTACAAAAGAGTATAGTTGCAATCTTAATGCTATCCGTCTTACTTACGGAAAATATAGGGCGTCAGGAAAGAGGTTCTTGATGAATTATTAGGAGCTCACTTCCTGGGTCTTATCCTGTAGGGAATGAATATACACTGGTTATCATAAATTAAGGAAAATTCACAAAAATCGCGATAACTCAAGAAATTACACATGGAATTTTATGAAACTTACCCACAATATACAACACATAGTAAGGTATTAAACAACATAAAAAGAAATTATCAGACATTAATAGTAGTATAGAAATTAGCACATGTATAAAATAAACAAATTGGAAGTATCGGTTTGCAATAGAAAAAGTACCTTTAATATGGAATATGATTGCCTCTAGAAGCAATACAGCACAAACAGCGATGTGTGATGCTTTCAATTATGCGGTCTATCAGTTCAATAGGAAGTGAGAGCCATTGCTCTTGTAAAGCAGTTGCAAGCGTGGCAAGGGTCTGAGGGGGCGGATTGATGGCAGATACACGCCTCCCTAGAGCATCCCAAACGTGCTCGATAGGATTCAAGTCCGGGGATCGAGCTGGCCACTCCATGCGAGTAATTGTTTCCTGTTGAAGATAATCATCAACAATGCGAGCTCTGTGTGGTCTTGCATTATCGTCCTGTAACAGGAAGCAATCACCAATTGCCCCGGCATATGGGCGCACATAAGCATCAAGGATGTTGTCTCGATAAACCTGAGCATTCACGGTTCCCCTTGGAAAGACATGGAGGTATGTGCGCCCTCCTAAGGATATGCCTCCCCAAACACAGACACTGCCTCTTCCGTATGCATCTCTTTCACGGATGTTTGATGGATGATAACGGGTCCCAGGTTCTCTCCATATCAAATAACGTCTACTGTCACTTTCTAGACTAAACCTGGACTCATCCGTAAAGAGAACAGGCCTCCATTGATCTGACGTCCAGTGGACATGTTGTCGGGCCCACTGCAAACGGTCTCTCCTATGGCGTGATGTGAGCGGCACGCAAATGGCTGGTCGTCTCGCATACAGACCACCTTCGTGGAGCCTTCTGCGCACAGTTGACGTTGACACCAACCTTCCGGTGGCTGCAGCAAGAGAGGATCTAAGATGTGTCGGAGTAGCGGTTCTAT